CTTTGATCTAGAAAGGCCCAAGTCTCATTCATTTGGTGAACTGATGAATGAATTTTCATCTTGATGTAATGCTGCTGAAACTGAGAGCAACTGCAGAGCTTCAGTAATCCATGTTCAGACATGGATCTCATAAGACAGTCTAGAATCCTACATCCTGAATCACAATTTTACCTATGATAAACTTTACCTGGATAAGTTTGGGTGACAGAAGCGTGGGAAAGGAATTCTCTTTGTAGATAAATGTTCAAAATATATTTTTATATTACATAGTATTTCATGCACTCTGGAGACTTAAACTCATTCATTGAGAGAGATTAAATACAAGATAATAATTTACAACTGCAATTAAATCTTAAAACAGCATGTCAGTAGATAGTGTTAACCTAGACTGGACTCAGTCTTTGCCTCCCAATCACAATTAAAAACTGCACATTGCCTTATTTAATCTTCAATAATTTCTTAAAAATTGCAAGGAAAGACTTGCTCAAGAAGCTAAAAATTATTAAACATCAACAAATAAAAGAAGTCCTAGATGTACCAAAGAAACCATATGCACACAATTTTGCATGTTTTGGATAGTTCTGCTAGTACTCTCCCAAGAATTAAGAGGAAACACTATGACCAGCCCAAAGAAAGCCCCACAAGATCCCTTCATCAACACCAAATGACTGTAATTATTGTATTGAAGAATGTAGAACAAAGCATCTGCCTAGCATCCCTGAAGAACGGTCCTTTCATTGAACAAAATGTTCAATATCCCAATCCACTACAGGAGGAAAATAAGTGGCCTCATCAGCTTCCAGAAACAATTATTCTCAAGCGCTACAGATATTTCTGTCTTCAGACAAAGATAAAACCAAAGAAAAGACAAAGCTGCAAACTACCCCCCTCTGCAATAAAGTATGTTTTATCAGACACAGGAATTTTAGACAAATATGCAGTCATATATACTGCAAATATGCAGCAGTTCACTCAGCCTGTATTAAATAACACATACAAGCCATTTTTTGTAGGAAGAAAACAGCCCAATACTTAACTCACATCAAATTCAGTTAGATTTACCATATCATGAAAACAGCATATTTCAACATCAATATCACAACATTTGAGGTAAGGTTACAGAAAAACTGTGCCCTTTATTATGACATACTCAAACAGCTTGGAAGATTGTTTGGTTCAGTCAGAAAAAAAGATAATTCCTACTGATACCAGGATGTTCCTCGGCAGGATTCACTTCCACTGTTTGCTTTACTGCATTTCTTTATCACACTTTCGGATCCTTTTTCTGTGATTTGCCACACCTTCATCAGGAAATTATTCCATTTAATTCAACTGTGAATAATGTTTGGAGGTTTTGGTTTTGATTTCAGCCACACAAGTGATGTTGTGCTTGACTATTTTTTCAGGCTTATTGGATACCTTATTTTGATACTGAATATGATTACTACACTCCTGAGTAATAATGAATTTCATGTGTTTGCAGATTTGTGTGCATGTGTGCATCTGTACTTGTGTACACAGATACAGAGGAGGTAATATTTTCTAAGATTAAAAGATTGACCCATCTGGAATCATTCAAAAAGGAAATACATGCTGGAAATTTGTGGTAGCTTTGAAAACCTCACTCTATGTGGATAAACCCCATAGGAGGATTAGACACATACTAATCGATTAGTTTTTTGATGAAACTTGCATTGAATAATCAGTATCAGTCAGGGGCACCTGTACCCCATCATTATACAGATCCATCCTCACACACAAAATCTCAACCAGTAAATGAGTACCTAGCTAAGAAGAAAAGCTTTGAAATAAATACACTAGAAAGGGCTTAGCAGAAATTCTAAATCAGTGGATAGTACAACAGTTCTCAAAACCCTGGGAACTTACCAGACTACTAGCTTGAGACAAGTCCAGCTCTATATCTAACAAGATCTATTTCTGTTCAGTACATTTGTTTGTTTGTTCTCCATATTGAGCAGGGGATGAAAAGCAGATATTCATGAAACCAGCAGCAACAGCTCCCTTTTGTTTAGGATCATCCATTGTTGAACCATTTTTCACTGCAGCCAAAGGGCCTGTTTGAACTTCCTGACTGTTCATCACACATAATTTGGACTATTTAACATTATGTCAAGAAAATTGCTCAGTGCTTCCCATAATGGGAACCTACGAGATCTCTATATCCTTGAACTAATTTTACTTAAAGTATTCCATTGAATAGCATGACTGTCTCCCTATAATCAGTGCAGCAGTAATGTAATTAATCTCAAAATTGCTGTGGGGAGTACAAGGCATCTCAGTTGCTTGTCGTAACAATCTAAATTAGTGTATTACTGAAAGATGTTCAGGAGGAGCAGTTCATTTTAGGTAAATGCTGTCAGGGTATCCATTCTTTCTATTTCTCCAGCTAAATTAAAACTATCATCATAGTTCTCCTTTTGAAATCCAAATGAGTATGTTTTGAGGTGGGAAAGTATAATTAAATTTAATGTGGTATTCCTACAGATGCTGTTTTGAATTTTATAATAATTAAATTTGTTTGAATAAAAATTCATGTTTTATTTTGAAAAGAAAAACTGGTTTGGATCAAAGCATCCTATTGTTATCAGAACAATTCCCTTTTGTCACTGAAACTTCACAGACAGTTCCATCTTCTTTTCCTAAGCAAAAAATTAATCCTGCTGTTTTACTTTTCATACAGCCAAACTTTAACTATTTTATTTAGTGATATTTTGACTAGGCATGCAACTGCTCAAACCTACAGCAAATCTAAGAGATGAAATTCAAAGAATTAAATTTTTAAAATATTTCACTAATAATAGTGATTAATGATAATAAATTATGGTAAATATATGATGTAGATGACTGAAACTGCATATTTTGTGTCATTTACCCTATCTCCTCTTGTCAGGAACTAAACCAAATCTCAAATGAAACAAAAAAATTACCCTAAAAAAGGTTAGGAAAAGTGATGAAAGCAGTAAACTTGGGCCAGTTAAATCTGCTATTCCCTATGGAGTACACAAAAATATGAAGTCTTCTCAGTTTGCCACTACTCTGTAAAAAATCATCAGACTAAAATTTAATCTTTTAAGGTCAAAATATTATTTTTTCAACCAGAGGTAAGGGAAAAGAGTTGAGCAGAAAGTTGAAAGCATAACTCCTGCTCAATTGATACATTCTCCAATATTAAAATCATAAGACAGCACATTTTTCAACTGAAAGAAAGTCAGATACTTCATTTAGATGTAGTTTTTTTCAGTAATGATCCGAAGTAGGATGTGGGACAATCCAGAGAGATTATCACCTAATCTGCTCCTTTAACATATATAAGAAATCAAAATGTAAGTAAAACAAGCACTGAATAATTAAAGAAATGCATAACAGTAAGGGCCTGATTTAATTTGCATAATTTTTCCCTTAATAGTGCCTAATTAAGACATCAGTTTAAAAAAAAAATCCAACAGAACTCTGAGATTTTCCACACTGAATTAAAGCTAAGGACTTTTAATGGGTGTCTTAATTAGACTTTGTTATTCATGGAAATTTTACACAAATTAAAATCAGGTCCTGCATGCAACATTCCCAGCTGAGTCTCAGAAAAAATGCTATACAGGATTGAAAGAATTTTAATCCATGTGCAGATAGCAATTTGTATTCTGAAGTCAACATACACTGCGTTCAGTTTTTTGTTTAATTTGCAGTAATACTGTAACAAGCAAAACCCACCTAGTCAGAATTTCTTCCTTCAAAGTAAATTTTTACTTTATGGGCCCACCTTTCTTTTTTTTTTTTCTTTTTTTTTTTCTTTTTTTTTTTTTCTTTTTTTTTTTTTTTTTTTTTTTTGTTAGTTAAATATATAGCAAATCATGCAGCTTGACCAGGAAATTAGCCCATGGGCACAATAGCCACCATGAACAGTCTGCACAGTCCTGAGAGAGTTTGATTCAGTCTCAAGTTCCAGTGCTGCTGTAACCAAAATGAATGCTGCAAGGCCTGTCATTATTGGTGAAAAAAAACCAACCTTAGCCCAAAACAAAATACTGTCATAGCAACCCCATCATCCCTGCTAAGAAAGTCCTTCCAAAGGAACCTAACTCTTAGAAGACGGAAAACCTGTCTGCAGTTTACATACCCAAGGCTCTTCCAAAAAAACATGCTAAAACACCAGCAACAGGGCTCCAAAAGAGCCTTTCAGGAAAGGCACCAAAAGAATAACAGCCTCAGCAGCAAAGATTACATTACACTGACATTGGACATACTCCAGGTATTGAGAGACCAAGTCTCAACTGCAGTTTATTCTGTAGTGCAAATCACATGGTAACTGTGCGTGCTGATGCTATCATGGAAAGCAGTTTTGCACACAGACCTTCACAAATGACTTTCCTAATGAAAAACATGTCAATTTCCAATATCAGACACAACTTTGAACCCGTGCAGTTGCCAGGAATGCATCTACTACAGCATGTTCTCTAGAAAGGGAGGAAAAAAGAATTTGTATGTCTCACTATGCCAAGAAATATCAGTACCTGCAAAGAAATATCAGCGCCTATAAGTGTTGTGCTCACTGTGCAAAGAAATATCAGTGCCTATGGAACAGGGTAAGTACTAACTTGCAAGAGTTTACTTTCATTGTCAGGCTATAAATATACCTGTATGTCCACGCATGTACTTGGACATGCATGTGTACCAAGGAGCTCCCCGGAGTGGAGCTTTGCCTCCGGTGGCCCAGCCTGCAGGAGGGTGCAGGACCAGCACCTGCCCTGTTGCTGATGGCAGGGCTTCCAGTAGAGTATTTTCTTACACTTGACGGAGGAAAACAAGTAAATATGACTAACCTGCACCCTCTATTCAATCATGATGAACAGGATAAGTTGTATCACTTTATACAGCAGCTCCAGATTCCTCTAACATCAGAACTGGCTAGGCACCAGTCTAGATGCCTTACACATATTCCCCACAGGGCTGGTTTTGGAGTTATTGACATAATTTTACAGTACCTGGCTGGTCTGCGGGCTGGACGGGTCGTAAGAAGGTACATAGTTCTTCAGAGTATCCTGAGGATTCAGGTGGGGAGGATATCTGATCGTTGGATGAGAGAAGTAGCTAGATGGGCCAGGAGGGAGAATAGCTTGTGCTGGAAATGGCAACGGTGAAGGTGGAGGTGGAGTTCTAGTTGAGATGACTGGAGAAGATAAAATAAAATTAAAATTACTTCGCATCTTGTTTCTTCTAAAATTCTTCACCTCTGTGTTACAGCAAAAAAAATAAAAAGTCAGTTTCAAATCAATGTATTGAACTCCTGCGTAAGGGCATTTTTACAGAAAAACTTAATGCCTTCATATTATCTCAGGAAATGAAAAGTGTAACTGTTTCAAATTCATAAATAGTGCATCTTGTTTTGGTTTTGTGGGTTATGCCATCATAGTATTTTCTTTTTTTTTTTAAACAGGAGTCGTTCTCCAACATAGAGGTTATTCCAATTACACAATTTTCCCATCTGGAGCCCAAAGAAATCAAACCAAATACTAAATAAAGCCCCCACTTTTATTTACAGCACTGCAACACTGAGGAAAATCACCAAGTCCCAAGAAATGAGGATTCCTCGCTGCATTGCAATCTATCCTCCTCTTTTGGGGACAGGACAGTATCTTATCTACTCATTAATATTGCCACGGATATTTGCTGACCGTTATGAAAATGTTAATGAATGTTCAACTTCTTCAGTACCTGAGAATCCAATCCACCCAATAAAATTATCTTTGACTAATAAAAAATTACCTACACTACCCATTTTCATTACTATCATTCTCTTTATTTCCAGCCTCTACAAACATACAATTTTCTACCTAAAGACTGCGTATAGTGTCTAAACTAACAATGTTTTCACAGTGCAAGGAAGGTACAGCTTGTCCTTCTGGTGCCCAGTTGTTGGTCTGGAAGCGTAGAACTTTCTTCTATCACACTGCACAAGAACACACTTTCCACCCTTACTACACACCTAGAGAGCACACACTCGGTGTATGAAAACAAGGGGTACTTAGTTCAAAGGAAATGGAGAAGAGACAGGGAGTTTCCGTTTTCATTAGTGGAAAAATACAAAATCAGGTCTTTAAAGAAAGGTTATTTATACACTGTTCAATGGTTCTCTACTGCATCAGCACAAGCACATGAACACTGCTCTTCTGGAACACCTTTCACATCTCTGAGTTTCTTCAGCTTAATTTTTATAGGACTTCCTATATTTTTGGGCATTGCTCATCAGCATAATAGAACAGGCCACAAAGATTAAAATGGGGTTCCCAACAAGTAAATAATTCACTAAATCACAAGATAGGTTATGATCATCACTGAAGAATGTATATTATAAAACTATACTCTAAATTTAATATAAGGAGATATAAGTGATTTGGGGGATTTTTTTTTTTTTGATTGGCTGGGGTTTTTTGTTTGGGTTTTTTTAGAAGGTTCATTTTACTGACAGCTCCACCAAGTTCAGTTTAAACAAAATACTAATTACTCCTCTGGCATGTCAGAGCTATGAAAAACAAACACGAATAAAGTGAAATCTGTCCCTTCCATTTCACCCATCATCTCTATATGCGTGAGTGTCTGCTGGTAGTGGAAACATCAGAGTGACCAGAATGAGTCCAGGACCATTGTAATAAAAAATAAGTGGATGTTAAGGGGAAAATAGTTCTTATAGATGAGCTTAAAGGGTTCTTATAGATTTCACTTGAAATCATGGAGGAAAAATAAAACAGAAACTTCTCAAAGCAAAACTTCATGTGAAGAAAAAAACCAAAATTTTCAAATCTGTTTTACTCTAGTCACTTAACTCTGCTCAATAAATTAAAACTTTTATAAGTAGTTTATGTCAAGGAGACATGATGAGATGTTGAAGGGACACTTCTGATCATCTGAAAACCAGGGTCGGTCTCACCTATAAAATTAAACACACCACGATGCTGGAATTACCCTGTAACTGATAAACCCTCAAGACAACATGCATTCTGTCACATTTCACATATCTCATCCTTACTTCAAGTGAATTTTTACTACAGATTTACTAATGATTTCAGAAAACAGGTGTTGGAAAATACTTAATCAGGACTTTTTAGACTCAGCATTCAAAAGAAGCACTGGTACTTATTTCATTGTGTCACATGGTGAACATGGTTGTGATTTCTCTTGTGTATTAAATCCTGCCATTCTGGTATTTAAATACAATATAGTCATAGCAACAATAATAAAAAAGGGATTTAGGTGAGAGGATGAAATACAGGGAGCATTTTTCCTCTGTCAGTTTCTTTATGCATTGTACAGTTTATTTTATTCACTAATTAATCCTAAATCCTTTTAAGTGACTTCCAGCAGTCAGATTACCTGAAAAGCTAAATGAGCACTCTTGCAGGGATATCCCAACCTTTTCCATTTTTATTTTCACCAGTATTATAAATTGGATTAGGTCTCTAAGAAAGTCTGCAAAAATGCATCACAATCTGATTATAGCAAAGGAGAACAGAGCAAATGAACAAGGGAGGTTTTTATTTCCTCCGACATAACCCTCACCACTGTGTGCAACTCCTGGGATTCCTGGGTGGTGATGCTGGGGAAAAGTGCTCAGTCTTGATGAAGAATCCTGGGGAGAAGTGGGACTAAACAAAGGCTTTTCAGGCTTCTTCATTGTAGGAGAAGACATATCTACAATAAAAAAAAATATAACAATAACATTAGCTTAGAAGCTTGCCTCAGAACACATAATTTTATAGACTGAAGATATTTCTTTCTGTTTTTCTTGCACAAATATGATATGATGATGCAAATCCCATATGGTGAATAAACTAATTTTAAATTACTGCTTTCAAATTTGAGAATTAAAAATTATGTCTTAACAGGTTCTTGTCCTGCAAGACAGCAACTACATTTCTTTAATACCATAGAAGTCAACCTGTGAAGAAATTTATGTCTTTAGAACCTTCATAGACACCCGTCAGCTCCCTAGTACATCACCAAATCATCTGTTCCTTCAACAGCCACTTAATTTTTATTGCATTTCTCAATGCAACACCTACACTCAGGTGTGTAGGGTAACTGCCATACACATGCCAGTTTATGGTATTTATTATTTTATTACCTCAAAACTTATCCCCTTATCACCAAAACCATAATGAAACAATGTAACTTCCCTAAGAACAAGGGATACTTTAACTATTGTCATATTTTCCATGTCTCAAGGATTGTCTTGTCACTTCTTCCTTTGAGATTCCCAATAAATAAAAGCATTTCTTTAGAGCTCACTATGTGAAGATAACAGACTGGTAGGGACAAATGCATGATTTCTACCAAGTTTACTGAAGTTCTCCAGAGCAAAAATACTGGATTTTTTCTGAAATTTTACATTAATTGATCAATATTTGTTGGACTTTGTACCAAATTATTTCAAACATAATTACAATATTTTTGTAAAACAGACATCAATAGTGTAATTGGTTCCATTTCAAATCAATGGGATTTCAAATCAATTATTTCTGCTTTCAACCCATGTTCAAAGCAGAGGTAATTCCTTAAGCACTTTACTGGATAGGGGCCACATTGAAGTTGACTTCTTACATGGACCACGTTATTTTTAAAATTATTTTGACCCTTTTAATATTGGCACACTCTATTACTCTATTCTGCTAAGACAGGCCTGCAAAAATGTGAATGTCTTACTGAGACCCAATTGGATCAATGTTTTCTGAACCGAACTTAGAGCAGGACAGATGAAACTGAGTCCAATTCCTTACCCTGCCCCATCCTGCTGTCAATCCCGGCACAGGCACTGGCACTAGACACAGAGCAGACTCTGCCTGTGACCCTCCACCATCCCCTGCAAGTCCCACCCTCCACTTTGATCCTGACTACTATGTCTGATGAGTGCCTGAATACCCCGAAGAGTTCATCTCTTCAACAATACTGAAGAAAAACGATTTATTTGTTTTTAAGTTTCAGGAGGGGATTCCAATCCTTATTACTTTGAGAATGAAAATAAAACAGACTTTTGGAAAAAACAATCTGAAATACAGATGAAAAGCAGAAAGATGTCAAAAGCACTCCGACAAAGTCATTTTAAGGTCAAAATTAATCAGACACAGTGTCCTGTCCTGCTGAGAATATTCTTCAAATGTTAAATTCTCAGTGCTGTTCCAAATCACTGTTGTTTTTATTCTCATATTACTTTGGAGGTACAGCACACAGGCACCCAAACAGGTAGCATGTTATACATTCCAAAGCATCACATCAAAGTAAAAAGGGCTTATGCAAATAAAAAAAGTTAGAACATCTCATCTTCCAACAAGGTAAACCAGCCTACGTAGGAGGGCAGAAGAGCTGCTGTGAAACATAGCATATGTAGCCTGTTCGTCAGCAGCTTGCACAAATGGTGCTCCAGATGTATAGCTGCTCAAGACAGCCCAAGGCAACAATTTTGATCAACTCTAATGTGATAAAATGCTGCAGGGAAAGTGCAGAAACATGTTTACATCAGCCTTTAATTAAACTGTTGTTCACTTCCAAGGAACCTTAGGAAACACTAATGAGACTTGAGTTTTGGCAATTTCCTCATCAAAGCAAAGACCCTCTTCCTCTGTCTAAAGCAGCTTGCCATCCAGGCAGTTCCTGGATGAGTGTCATCTTGACACAGCACTTGGCAAGCCACCTGTAAGGAGAACTCAGCTGGAACCAAACAGTGACCCAGGGCAAATTTAAACATCCACCTGCCCATTTCTGGGCACCTGACCTAATTTCTTGATCACCACCACAGCATAGCAGCTTCTCTTTCTTGCCGATGAGGGATGCTTATGAGAAGAGCTAGAAGATTCCATAAACAAATAATAAATATATTTCAATCTTTTAATTCTATAAATCTTCTTATTAGTATATTTTCTACTGCTTGGTTTCATAAACCTTTTTGTACAAGGTACACTCTTGCAAACAGCAATCTGTAAAGATTTATTTACACCTCAGTAGTGTAGCATCACTTCCAGAGAAAGTAAGATGAACCCATATTCAGCTTACAGTTTATCACTGTCATGAAGGACAAAAACCATGGAGTCCATAGCACCACTGTCAAGCTATAAGAGGCATCCTTCCATGCTACAGCTTTAAATGAACTGCTCTTTCCCAGAGGCAGTACTTGGAATGATTTCTGGTGGCAGGATACACTACACACATCACAGCCAGCTTGACCTCAGTCTTCACCTCATCCAATCACTCTTGTGTGAAGCACATGAAAACTTCAGTAAAACTTTGAATTCACTTTGGATGTCTGTATAATGACAAGAAATCTCCCCATGGTCAGGAGAATTAGTTTTGCTTTACACCCGCACATGTGAAGAAGGTGCAGAGCCACTTTGCACAGGCAAAGCCAGCATCACCAATTTTTCTGACAGCTCAATATGATTTCCTTTAACATCGTGTATTTCTCAACTGTGCATTTTAATAAGGCACCTAATACTGAATACTGACAGCTGAGTGACTTTAAACCACAACCACCTCTCCCTTATTGAAAAAAGGCTTTGTTATATCTGCCCCAAACATTTGGCACTGGGGCTGGATGAAAACTAAGGAGCATGAAAATAAAAACATTTTAATTCATTTATCTTCTCCACAAAAGGAAGAAAAGGAGTGGGGACATATTTTTATATGGATATGTGAATAAATATGAAAGAAAGAGAAATGTGCCTGAACAGCTGGATGTTAGAGATACTTGATGTTTGTAACAAAGACTGGCTTAGAGTTCCTGTTCTATACCAAACAGAAACCAGTCTCTGTAACTAGCTCATCCCTTTTACAAATCTGTGCCTAATCCTTGACTTTTTGGTGTCTCATTCCACTTCACTGTAAGTGTTATCTTGGACCAGAGGTAAGGCCTCTTAAAAATTTATTTACTTCCATGAAAAATTCTGGTAATTGACGTTCTCCAGAATTAAAAATCAACAAAATAAAACAGAACAAACAAATCATGGTCAATTCCATGCTATGGATTTCTGAGGCATATTTTAACAATTCTCAAGGTGAGCTTTTGCACTCACTTTTGTGAGAAACAACAGGGTCATGCAGCTGCATGCATACTGCTTAGCAGCTGAGAGTGTTCTGAACTTTAGGACAAGTGTCAAGGTTTGGAAAGAGCTGTTCACATTCAAAAGACTGATCTGTTTTACCTCACATTTTAAAAACTGATCTCGGTTTTACTTTTACTTCTGCATCAAGTGTGGAAAACCATTTTACATATGAAAATTTTATACTGGATTAGAATTTTTCAGTGTATGAAGACTTGATAATTTCCCATTTTCAAATCAGCCTACTTAGTGCCAATGTTATTTTCACAGGCACACCTCTGATATTACACAATCCAGTCTACCAGACTGTGACACCTGTTTTCCCATCAGGAACCATGCCCAAGGCTAATCAAATGCTCTGTTGTGCTATTATGTCATTTCACAACAGATAAACCATTTCAATGTATCATCTTTTGAGATTTGTATTTAAAACCCAAGAAGAGAAACTAGACTAGAATTTCTAGTCACTTTCAGTATTGTAAGCTGTCAAGAAAAACACTAAAACCAAACTGTAATTCAGAACAACAACAGCAAAATTAATAAATTAATTGCAAAAGCAACTGAATTATTTATTTTTTCATTAGTCATATAATTAATTACACTATTTTGTTTTGCTCTCTAAGTATTAATATACATAAGAGAAGAAAGTGATACAAGAACTTCCAGACACCTGAAATAGAAAAGGTCAGAACCCTTTTGATGGAGCAGACATGCCATTCTTCTCATCCTTAACTACATGAACTTGAATAATGCTGTACTCCATTGCCAACAGTATCATTCTGTGGGCTGTGTTTACCTTGAAGATTTTCTTTACCTCAGCAGAAAGGGGTTTGGACAAGAGACAGAAGTGTTTTACCTACCTGCCCTTACACCTCCCTGTATACATGGCAAGGGTGGATATAGGGAGGTAGGGTGGAAAACTCAGGCAAATCCCTATATGAATGAATGTAGGACACTCTTTGCTGGTGTTTGTGACTGTATAAAATTGGACAACTGAAATTTTCCATTGCATTACTGACTATCCTACTTTTTATGGACAGAAAGTAAAACTCAGTACAGTTCCTGTTAAAATTATATGCACTAGCTTTTGGAAAGTATAATCTAGTGCATGGATATTTAAACTAAAGTAATTGAGAAACCTGCATACACATTTCCCCAATTTTTTTTCAATTTTAACAGAACACTATTTATAAAATGGGGGATGACCAAAGCTATGATGGTCAGATCAAATTAATATTGAATATGTGAACACTAAAACTTTCCCCATCCCAAAATAATTTTTAAAAATGTCCACCTATAGGACAGGACATACAGACCCAATCCCATAACTGTTGTTTGACAAGATCATATTACACGTAGGTAATTAACTGCCATACTGAAGAGATGCATGTCTATGTAAACCCGCAGCTATTCCCACCAAGATTAGGCTGAAACTATGGTACACTGTCCTGTAAAGGCTGTGGGCAGCAATTCTTCATTCTCATCTATAAACACACCTCACCACTTCTCACCAGGAAGTAACAGTAAAACACCCAGGGAAGGTTTATAATCAGCACAACTGTGTTACTATAACTGCCCTGTTTCCTGAGAGAAGAAACATAC